GAAGGGAGTTTCTAAATTCAAATCACGTTGTTTCTGTTGTTTTGAAGTCATAGTTGAAGAAAGGAAAGATCAATTTGTAGAAGAGTTTTTGGAAGAGAAGAACTTTGGAGAGGACAAAGAGTTTGTGCAAAGAAAGGCTTTGCTTGTGAAATGAAACGTGTTCAAATGAAAGATGGTAAGCCTACGGCTAAGTTATGACTGATTAGATGGCGTTCCATTTATCAATGTTCTTTGGAAACCAAAACACTGATGGTAATAATTGTGTTAGGGTTTATATATGCTGACTCAATTCAATGGGTGTAATTTAAATTTTGGAAGCCGAACCAAAACGGCTACCAAAATTAGGGGGTATTGTTGACACCCATTTTGGTAATTGGGCTTGGACTATAGTTGGGCTTGAAGTGTAGTGACGTGGTAAAGGTTTGGGCCGCAAGAAGAGATTGGGCTGAAGATGCATGATATTTAAATTGGGTTGAAGAATTGGATCATACACCTGAACCACGAAGGGGATAGCGATGTTGCAATTTTCCCATAGAATTGGATCTACAGGAATTGTGTTTGAAGACGCAATGGATAAAGTTGGATAACTGGAAGTAACAAATAGATAGAAGTATTTATTTAATTGCATGTTTATGTTTATCTAGAGGATTAGGTTTTATTTGAAAACAGTAATTAGTTAGTTGATAGAGTTTGGGTGTAACTAGAATACTTAGTTGTAAGATTTTATTCTATAAATAATCAAGGAGGCATGCTAAGATAGAGGTCCAGCACTCTCAGAATCATTTTATTATTGTGTTTTACTTTCTCAAGCTCTTTCCCAAAATAACATCCTTGTTATTTCTCTCTATCCTTATATCTTTTATTCTCTCTATCTCGTTCTAAATCTCTCCCTCTATCTATTTCTATATCTAGATTTTCTCCCCTTTCTATTTTTAAAACGTTACTATAAATTATTCATTATAAAATTCCTTTTAATTAAGGCAATTCTGAACTCAAAAAGGAGTTTTACTGTTCCCTTTTTTTCTCGCATCGTCTGAAAGTCAACCTTCTCAAAAGGACTGAAGTTGACAATTGACACTTGAACCATATAATTGGTTTTGGCACGCCCGTATCACATCACTTTCGAATCGGATCTAAGGAGCCGATTTTAGCGTTAACAACCACTCACATCAATCGAGGTGTAAGGCTACCTTTACATCTCTATACCTTTGCACCCACTCTCCTCTCTCCTCACTCTTTCACTCGAACCCTTTTTTTCTCTACCTTTTCCACCCAACCATACATTTACTTATAGTGTTTTTAACACCCAATTCCTTATTAAACAAAGATTACAATTTATTAGTGGCCACTACTTGCCTTCAATCAAATTCTTTAATTACAAAGAAACAAATTGTCCTACATGTCTGCAACCTTTAATAAAATAATTTCTCATATAAGTAAACAATTCTTTCTCATATTAGGCCAATGCAATTGGTTTCAAATAGTGCGACCGGTTACAATTTTTCAAAATTTCTAAAACCAATTGCAGCTTTGGGACTGATTGCTAATTGTCCAATCCGTCGAACTTCTTTAAACAACATTCTTAAAAAAATTTGAGACACAACTCTCGTTCTTCTCAATTCAATTTCTTAACATGTGATTATCCTTATGTTAGAGAAAAATTACTTTAAACTTTAAACTATTTTTTCTTTAATTTCAATTCCAATTCCAAAGCACTAATTCCATACAACCGAATATAACATTAAACTATGCATGTATTCAGGCTGCATGGAATTGAAGCCTTGAAATTGAAATTGGTAAAATTTGAAAAAAACAATTAAAAAAATTGAATCAAAATTTTCTCAAATTTCATCAAGTCCAATTATGAGGCTCCAATTTCATGCAGCCGAATGCACTTTAAATGCATTCCAATGGCTGGTTTCTCATATTGTGATAAACTAGTCACTAGCTACGTTGATGAAGAAACTCTTCAAAAGGATTGTAACAAGAAAATTAACGAAGAAAATTGAGGGAAAAGAGAGAGGGCACTTGAATAGTATTTTGGCTCTTTTTCTAAAAGAGGGAAGGGATATGTTATTTTTAAGAAAAAAAACAAAATTGTAGATTAATCGCTTAACCGATTGCTTTAAGAGAATCAAATGTTAAAGCATGTTACAATTAGTGCAGTTCTATTTTTAAAACAATTGAATTTTTTATTAATCTTGTCCTCATTTCTAGCTATTCACAAAATATAGTAACATTTTTTCTCTATTATATTTTTCAAATATGAAGAAGCATTAACATTGTCCTTTTTTCCCCTTAACATGTCCAAACAAAAAAAGTTAAGTGTGTGGGCTTTTTCTTGTAATTATAAATAATAAGGACATCTTTATATATATATATGTAAATTTGATGTGTCATAATAGATTTATATAAAAAATTTAAATTATTTATTTTTAATTTTAGCGATTGTTTTATATTTTTTGTGTAAAATATATCCCTAATAACAATAAACTAATATCAGCTCTATATCCACATAATTTTTACAAATTTACTTAATATATGATTGATTTGTTAATTAAATGAGAAAGATGAACGAGAAAGGTGGCTGTGTAAAAAAATTGTGTAAAATACACAATAATTTTATACATTAATAACATGACAGTGTATCTTAATAGACTGCTAAAAAAAAAATTAAAAAAAAAAACTAAAAATATTTAATAGACAGCCGGAGACGCTCTAATCAAAGTTGATCTCATCTCATCTCATCTAACTATATAAAAATAAGTAAAAACTGAAATGATTGTTTTAGAAAATCGAATTGTTTTAATTTTACTTTACCAAACCACATTGGGGTGTGTGGAAGAAAATAATAAAATATAAAACGTTGACAAGAACAGGCCATTTTCTCATAAAAAGACAAAACACTCGCTTTAATAGTTAGTTTATTTTAACTCAACCGCTTAACTGTAACTACTTGAAATGAAGGGTAATTTGGACATCAAACTTTCAGAAGCAGAAGCGGACAAAATCGTGGTACGTTGGTGAATATATGGAACTTTTCGGGGGCATTTTTAAAGCTCACTCGGGATGAAGAAAAAAATAATAATATATAATAATAATAATTTGGTATCTAGAACTAAATATTTGTTTTTTTCCCCTAAAATTTTATTATATTATTTTTCTATTTATCATAATATATTTTGAATTCAATTAAACTTTCATTCTTCTAAATTTTTTTTTCACAAAATCACTTAATGATGTTTCTCAAATGTGTAGCTATTTGATCTATGCCCAATATTGCCACGACAGCTGTAGAGACGTATTAATGTTTTTTAATTATTAATTATGTCATAAAAATATGTCAAATTTGTCGCTTTACCGTGAATATAAGAAATAAAATATTTAAATTTCATGACATAGCTCTCTCTGCTCACTCATAGGGGTTGTTGCTATAACTACAGCAAATTATAATGTTATATTAAGTACAATATTCAAATATCATCACATTTTTAGCTGTGTTTGATTTATGTGTCAGTGTGTTCGCTATTTTCATGACAACCTAAACATGCTTTATTGTTAAGTACAATATTCAAATATCATCACATTTTTAGTCAAATTTGTCGATACCGTGTATATGAAAAATAAATCCAAGGACTCCATTTGGTTAGATCATGCAAATAGTGAGTGAAGAAAGGAAATGAAAATTTTCTTTACACTTTATAAGTTTAGTTAGGAGGAAAAGAAAATTTTTGAGGGAAAATTACTTTTCATAACTACCTAACTTTTTTATAAAAAATTTCTACAAAAAAGAATATATATATATATATATATATATATATATATATTTTATTTATATTTCTTGATAAATTTTTTTGAACTTATAATAATGCCTTTCTTTTGTTGTATAATAATGCCACAAAAATCAATTGATTTTTGTAGTGATGATAGAGTCTAACCACGACTTTTGTGAACGTTTAAGTGTTTATTACCATCATTGATTGCCACATTGGTTTGTAACAATAACACATTAACAAGTTATTTTTTTTTATTATTGTTTTTTCTTCTTCTTCTTCTGTAGTATAATAATGCCACAAAAATCAATTGATTTTTGTAGTGATGATAGAGTCTAACGACTACTTTTGTGAACGTTAAAGTGTTATTACCATAATTGATTGCCGCATTGGTCTGAAACAATAACTCATTAACAAGGTTTTTTTTTTTTTTTTTTTTTTTTTTTTTTTTTTGAGATAAATTTCCCGCTATTTAAATTATAAAATGATAAATTTTTTAATAATTTTTTTATTTTTTTTATACTAACTAAATATGTATAATAAAAAAATTAAATTTATTTTCATTCAATTTATTTATTTATTTTTAATTTCACTATCTATTATTAATATATTAATTTTCAACTAACCAAGGGGAGAAGTATTGGTATTTTCTAGTTTTTTAACTTAAAATTTTGAGGAAAAATTACTTTTAACTACCAAACTTTTCCATAAATTTTTCTTTAAAAAAACAAAGATTTTTTTATTTTTTTATTTCTTGATTAAATTTTATGAACTTATAACAATGCCTTTCTTTTATGGTAAAATAATGTTACAAAAATCAATTGACGACAGAGTCCACCAATTTTTTTAAAAAGAATAGAATCTCTCTTTTAGGTGTTTATTATCATTATTGATTGCCATATTGATTGACAATAACAAATAAGCAAGTTTAACTTTTTTTTTTTTTTAGGTGATAAGTCAAATCATTTAAATTATGAAATAATAATTTTTTTTTAATTTTTTATATTAACTAAATATATAATAAAAAATAATTTTCATTTCATTCACTCTATTTATTTTTATTTCACTTTCTATTACTAATTTTCAGGGCAGCTTAGGAGAAATATTGGTGTTTTCTAGTTGTCAGCCAAACTTGCAACTTGCAAGATAGATCATACCAGATACAATGTATAAAGGCAGGTATATTATATACACTCCACATATATATAATAATAATATATATAATTAATATTATATGTATCGGTAATATTATTATATTTCTGGCAATGAGATGATAGCTGGTTGAGAGGTTGTTTCTGGTAATGAAAGCCATCAGCTATGGCGGTGGGTTTTGGAGGCTACTGAATCGACTCGCGTGCCCAAGAAGCGACGAAACTATCGTGTTCATCGCCAACTGTTTCTCGCCGGTCATCGGAGGTTTCTCCGGTCAGGTGTTCCGGCGACGAAGTCTTTTTTCTCAGAGTTGTAGAGTGAGAAAGTCGCCTTGTCGATGGTCGCTAATATCACCATGAATGGTAATGGATTCAGCAGTATGGAGTCGGACTACATACGGAGGCATCACAGCCACGAGCCTGCCGAGAATCAATGCAGTTCGGTTCTCGTCAAGCACATCAAAGCTCCTGTTCCCCTTGTATAATCTCTATTTACTCTCTCTCTCTCTCTCTCTCTCTCTCTCTATATATATATATATATATATATGTATATATATATATATATATATGCGCATGTGTGTTTGTTTCTCTCTCTAGATCGATTGATTGATGCGTGGCTTTTGTGCTGAGATTTGAATCTGTATGGTGATGTTATGGAAGATTGTTGTATAGATTTGTGGTTTTTGAGCGATTTCACTGATTCGGTTGTGAATTTTAGGTGTTTGACTTTATTTGTCTTGGTTTCAATCCGAAGCTTATTTTATTTTATTTTGTTCCTGATGATGTTAGCTGAATCTGATTGTTATTTTCGATGTGTTGACTGAATGATCATATGAATTTCGATGTAAAACCTCCGTTTGGTCTGTGAGAAAAAGTACAGAGAAATTGAAATGTTGTGCCTTATGCTGATATGATTTTTTCTTAGGGGTTCCCAACCTCTGAATAGCAAAATAGGGCAGAAATTTGAAAATGGATTCAGCATTTATCATTGTTTGGATCTGCTTACTGCATATTAGAGTTGTTTAACTTGATAAGTTTATTTCATTTATTTTCTTTGTTATTTATTTCAATGGGATTGTACAGTGGGTTTTTGGGTAGGTACTCTATTGAGTTCCAATACGAATTTGGATGATTCTGCTTACCTTGGTTTTGAAGTCTTCCTTATTTGGAAATGAAATACTCCCTCCGGCTCAGTTTAAGTGTCGTCATTGTGAGTTACATTTTTCAATGATGACACTTAAATTGGGACGGAGGGAGTAAATGTAAAGACTAAAGAATTTTCCTTTACACAGAAAAATGTTTTATATTCAACTAATAATGTTAAGCTATTATCTTATTAGTAATTCATGCTGTTGTGCTTGTGAGCTTCTTGATAATGGATGTATGCACGTGGATTGATATAAAACAAACTCTTCTATGAAAATTACAGAATTTATACAAAAAATAATTAATTTTAGCATCCTTTGTCTGCTAATTGTTTGCATTGTTTCTGTTCATTAGGTTTGGTCTTTAGTGAGAAGGTTCGATCAACCACAGAAGTACAAGCCATTTGTCAGCAGGTGCGTTGTCCAGGGAAATCTTGAGATTGGGACTCTTAGAGAAGTTGATGTTAAGTCGGGGCTGCCTGCCACTACCAGCACTGAAAGATTGGAGCTTCTTGATGATGATGAACATATCCTCAGTATCAAAATTGTGGGTGGGGATCATAGACTCAGGGTATGAAATGCTATTATTTGCGAACTCTGATTTTATTTCCTTAAACACTATTATGGATGTGTGCATTTTCATTTTACTCACAAACAACTAACTGAGTGATATTAAAAGAGAAGTGCAACTCATTTTACATCTAGACTCTCTGCAGCTTTTTCCTTAATGAATGCTAAATTATGCTATCCAGAAAATGTGATTAAGATGCACATGATTTGGTTTACATAAAATTTGATTTTTGAATATTTGACTCTAGTAATGTTATAACTGTGAAACAGTATGTGTAGGTTTTGACATGTTTTGTTGTATTTGTGTATCTTGCTTAACCAAAAAAACATTTTGACATGTTTTTAGAGTTACAGTCACAGTGATGCTGCTGGTAATCTCTTGCAAATTAGGTTTCTTGGAAACATGATCTTTCACATTTATATGAATGAAGGAAATGAGTATATAATTTTATATGAAATTGATTGCCCCTGGGATTTGTTCATAGTATCGGTAATGACCTACAAATCTTCAATCCCATGAAGAAAATCCATTGTCATTGTTCTGCTTACAAATGATTAATTGTGCTGTTGAATTTGGACCATATTTGATTTTACCCATGTAAAATCCTGCTAATTTATGAACTTTATGCAAGTAGGGGCTCCCACTGTTCCTTATTTAATATCCCATTTGGTGGAAGTGTTTTGTTCATTCATCAACTGATTTTTTTACTCCATTCGGACACATTTCAATAATTCTTTTAGTTGCCTTAATAGGCACAATTACCCCCGAACCCGCAAGTTCCGACAGAGGACCAATAAACCACCTGACTCCGTACGCCTGTATGATTCACAATGGTATTATTGAAACTTATCGGCCACATTAAAATTACTTTCAGGGAGGTCTGAATGATATCTAAGAACTGCTCAATGACAGTCAGACAAGTGGAAAATGTTGGGGGTGAACCAGAAAAGTTTGGGTAGCATATTGTCGAATGGAGCTAAGGTCCAAAATATGGAAGAAACAAGTGTTTCCATGGCCCTATCACCCATTTTTTCCCTTAATCCCTCTTCCATAGCAACTTATCTTTCCAGCTAAGAAATACGAAATCTTTCCTCCAAACATGATAATTACTGTGTTTGCCACATGTAGTGTAAATCATGTTTAATTAATTCTTATCACTTTGTCATATATGTAGGCTAAATTTTAGCCTCTTCAATTGATCAATGCAACTTACAACAGTCAGCTAGTTGTTAGGAGAAGGAAAATAAACGAGTTTGTGAGAAAACTTTGTTTCTATGACGGGGGTTGGAAGAATGCAGTGATTAGAAAAAATCTTTTACATGAAAAAGTTAGGGTTGCATGATGATACTAGCTTCAGGCTCACTTTCATGGGCCAAAGTTGTGGCACTGTGAGGCAGCATATTACAGGAAGTGGAGTTAGGATTTTAATTCTTACCATGAGCAGTGAAAACTGAAAAGGATTACTATCATATCATGGTTCTGAAGCCATATGCTCAACGCTGCATATGCCTTGTGTACTAGGGAAACAGACACTTGGAAAAAAAAAAGTGTACTAGTGATAGAGAGTCACTTTCTATGCGGATTAAATTGGTCTTCAATGACAATTAGTATGTGATTACATCCCCATAGGGTTAGTTCTTTTTGGTGCATTAGCTGGATCTAAATATTAACATCCAATGTTTACAGGCACAACTTGCTCAAACAACTAAACCTTGAAGCCTTTTATTTTTCCATTGCAGGAGTAAAGTTGATAAGTTAGACTGAGTTGGCTTTCTTATTACTGATATCAGTGCTTCTGCGAACTGTTATTGTTTAGTCAGTTTAACTTTTTTTATTAGAATTACTAATATTATTTTTTTCAGAACTATTCTTCGACCATTTCCCTCCATCCAGAGAGTATTGAAGGAAGACCTGGGACTTTGGTGATTGAATCATTTGTGGTGGATGTGCCTGATGGGAACACCAAAGATGAGACCTGCTACTTTGTCCAAGCCTTGATCAAATGCAATCTCAAGTCTCTTGCTGATGTTTCAGAGCGGCTGGCAGTGCAGGGGCGGACTGAGCCCATTGATAGGATATAAGAGTGGGGGATGGACCGATGTGATGAATGCTATGATTACCATGGATGAAGCTTCTTCTGAGGCATTCGGATCACGAAGGCTCTGGGGACAGACTGGTAGTAGCTATTCTTCCGTCATCCTAACACAGTGGTGCTTGCTTTCTTTTTGTTTTCTATGTTGCTGAACTTCCTGTCTTAAGTAGTTAAAGAACCACAGCTTTTATAAAGGTTTCTAAGCCCCACCACGAATGAAAGTTAAAACCAATGACCAAGTTCCTCTCCGTCTGTGTGTGATATTCCAGGGTTTTAGCTGTAATAATTCTTAAATGTTTTGTAGTTGTATGTATATGTGCTCAAAAGGCTGGGTTTTCGTACATCTGTTTTTCGCGTTGTAGTGTAGCTTCTAGTTGGAGTTAAAGATGTTTAGGGGAGGCCCCTAATAACTATTATCAGTATCATAACAGTCTTCATCTATTATTATTATCTATCATGCATTGGAAGGATAGTTTGATTAAAGGTTACACTCCCAAAATGGTTAGAAGGGAAGGAGAATTCTTTCTGGCGTTGGGAGGTTTTATCGGTGTGTGTTGGAAATCTTTTGCTCGAGTCATGTTTGCAATTCCTTTCACAGTTTGTAACCCTCAGTTATCTCCTTGTTAGTGGTTTTCCTTCTGTAATACGGAGTAGTAAATGTTTATTCTTCTGTTGAACCGTGCTATACAAGCCGATTTTGGTTTGGCTTGTGCTTGTGCTTGTGCTTGTGCTTGTGCGGACTCTCTCACTAGCGAATGGTGCACCATCGGCTTGTGAGAATCGGAGAGTCGGCTTGTATATTATTTTTCTCTTTTGTTTCTTCCTTCTTTTATTTGTTTTTGGCTGAGAAAGATTTGATCCTATGGCCCATCCTTATCCTGTCCCACCCCTTAATAACAACTTTTGTGCTTTGTTATCAAAAGGCAGTACCATATGGACATCATTCAATTTTATTTTTTATTGACTGCATTTACTCATAACCAAGATCTGGTTCCTCCTTTCCTTTGCACTATTGCCAACTACTCGTACATTATTGTTTAAAGCATCATTGGAGTCTTTGCTAGGTATCTTTTTCTATTTTTGGTGCACGTCTTCATGACAGTACACGAGTAAGATAAAATAAGGTTATGTGCAGAACTATATGGCAACAAATGAAAGCTTTCATCTTTTTAGATCTTTCCTTACAAAATGTTCATGTGGATTAACAAACAAATTTCGACTTTTATCAGAAGAAAAATGAGTAAAGAATTGAGTGGTGTAATACTCGTTGCACCGATCAAATTTTTTTTTTTCAATGCCATGTTCAGGTTCCTGGAGGTGGTTTTTAATTGTAGGGCGTTTGGAGGCAATGCGTATTGCCATGTTATTCATATGGCATATGTAGCTGTGGTGTATTAACCACCCACTTTGTGTGTGCAACTTGGTGATGGGGCACTCAGTCATTAACACAAGGAATCATTGAGGAAGCCACACACACACACACACACACACACATATATATATATATATTTGCCATTCGGAAACTCACACCCCTACTTTATTCTTTGGAAACTCAAACTCTCACCGTTCACTTTGAGACTCGAACTCTCTTCATCCACTTTAACACCATTGAAACACGAGACCCTTTGGTTGAGGAAGTCATTTTGATGTTGATGTCTAATGACTTCTTGTCACGCTTTGCAACTTCAAAATTTTAGCAATTAATATATGATTTTTTTATTTTTTATTTTTTTTTATTTTTACTTCAAACAGGCTCCCGCCATTTGCGTACGCAACTGAACACGATGGGTCATACTAAATTCAGGAATGCTCCAAAAAGGCAGCAATTTTGAATCTTTGAACTCAATCCAATCCCTAATGCTATGTTTGATAACATCGATCGAATCAGTGCCCGAAGAAATTTTAGTACAAAGCTTGAACTCAATTTCTTCCAATCTCAAATCTAAAGCACCGATTTAGTACTTCCAAACTTGGCATAAAACAATTTGGAATTGGAGGAATTTTAGTACAAAGTTTGAACTAAATTTCTAGATAAAGAATCCATCATAAGCACGTAACTGTAAGAGTAAACAATAACAGCAACAATATACAAAGATAAGAATCCATGTCGAATGCTCTAAACCTACCATCTGCTGTCCATTCAGTTCGTGACATAAAGAATGTCTCCACCCCACCATTATGATTTATCTTTCATATTGAAAATCTTTATTATAGTTTATTACTTATGATATGGGATGCTGAACAACAATTTGGCCGTTTGTCATTGAACAGCTAGCATGGATAACTCAGAACAGGTGAAACGCGAAAAGAACATAAAATTTACAATCATCTAAGCAGGGTCAGTGTTTAGCCCAAGAATCACAACAGGAAGTATCAAGATAATATACATTACCATGATGTTCATAGTTCTAAGCGTTGTAGTACGCCTTGAGATAGTTTTGAAGCCGCCTCCACTGAAAATCTCACTTTCAATTTCTCCCTTTTTTTAAAAAAGGAGCAATTTGAACTTTGAAAATGCCCGACACCAGCAGGCAATTCGGTTGGAGGACATCCACCTTCCGGATTGCATGTCACCGAAAAAAGAACTGATACTGGAGACAAATTCCAAGAGAAGATATCAGGGCCGATAAGGGGGCATCGATGCATGTGGGGGGCCATTCTGGCTATTCAATTGCATCATCCCAGGGACCATTCCAGGAGGCATGGTTGCAGGTGACATATAATGGTGATTATGCAACTGCATGGGCATGGACTGAGGTACTGCTGGGCCAAGGGGACCCCATCCTGCTGAGGCATGAGGACCTGCAAGCACTTCGGGAGCTGGAGCAAACTGGGCTCCGTGGTATTGATGAGCACTGGGTCCTATCATTTGATGCGGTTGCTGTCCTAGAATTGATGGTTGGGAGTTCGACATAGGAGCATTTGGGATTGTATAATCTCTGCTGCGATCGTTGTTAGCCTGAAACAGTACATCAAAGCTTCAATAAAATTAGGATGCCTCAAATTTGTTGTTTTGATGCTATTTAAAACCATGTTGTTATCATACCGATATTGCTACAGAACTAATGCACCATGAAAATGCACAGGTATAGCCGACATCGGAAATCACTTTCACGCAAAAGCAAACAAATGAATCAACTAAAATTGAAAGCCATGTCCTTTCATTTGGATAGTAATATAATTTAAGTGTGTCAGGTTCACAGTGCTCCAATCACAAGAAAGATGTTTCACAATACCATTTGCTTGAATTACTCTCTCCATTATAGCAGCTTAAGAAATTTATTTATTTATTTTTTAGTTGGTACTCACACACACATGCATCCCCTGACCTCCCCATGGGAAGTAAAGTGCCTGATACCGCTAGGCCAATGGCCCGTTGGTTTAAGAAATTTCTCATATATATATTTTTTAAGGGAAGTGATGGAGAGCAGCAGCAATAAATGAAATGGGACAATAATTGGTCAAGATGATTGAAGTTCTGTAAAAGACCTTAGGTAACAGAAACACACTTGAGTTGGGAAAATCATGTTGTCAACCAAATATATATAAAAAGAGATGAACATGAAGGAAGCAAGCTAAAGTAGTGGAGAACAGATAACAAAATTTCAATTCAAAGTGGAGCCTGATGTAATTCCTTGAAATTCATGAAAAAGACCTAGATTGGATGATAATTATTTTTGACAAGTAACCCAGATTGGATGATAATATTGTAGTACTTTAGTAGAGGAAAATAGTAACAAGAGTAAATCCTTGATGCGGGCAAATTTTATAAGTAGAGACCAAATCTGCCCAATCCATTTGATGCAGATTTCCAAGGGATGAGCAATAAACAATGGCAGTTAATCCACTCTTCAACTTGGCACTCGAATAAATGACTATATAAATGAAATTATTAACCAAGGGTCACGTTATATTACCTTTATACTGAGATCAGTATGGCGTGAATATGAGATGTGAAGCTTACAAAACCCTCCATCGTATATGCAGTGTCCTTCCAGGGATTCCTTGGCAACAACAGCAGTCTGAACATCTACAAGTCCATTGCACCATCAGTACCTCGATTTGACAACATAACAATCAACTCAAAGCATTGTTTCATCCAAGACTTAATGATCCAAAGGGTTTGATATCCATTGGATTTGAGAGTTCTAGTCAAAACTTTAAAATAGATGAAAATTGAAGTTCATTTGTCACTTACTAATGTAAATGGCCTGCTTTCTGAACCACCTCTAGGTGGGTCTTTAAAGTTGCTATATGGGTGACTATTATGTTAATTGAGTAACTTTGTTCTTGACGGTTTAACACCACCCATTCTTAAGGAGACCAATTCGTGAAGAACCCATCATAGCTTATATTTCCAGGACTAAAGAAACTCCAGGCATCAACAATAAAACAAAATTGAATTGACTTCCAAAACACTTAGATCACAGTTAGGCATACAAAAAGTCCTAGTCAATTGTTTTGCCTTTTTTTCCTCCTCCTCAGTCCATTTTGATGAAAAAAGAAAAACAAAAAAGAATCAAAGATTTAAAAAGATAGCTCCATTGATAGGACGAGAAAAGTAAATAGATTTTTGTAAAAGGTCATGCCACTATTTTCTAAAATAACGCAATGCAAAACAATTAATACAACAAACATATTGATACTTGTGACCATACAAAGAAAAACGTTGTATTTTCCCATTAAACATTATTATTGTGAATTCCCTAAATTGGCAGGGCTTAATCAACAAAAAATTAGAATAATGAAATTAGAACTTTGTAAGAATTCTCTTATTAAAAAAAAAAGCATATGAAGAAAAGAAGAATTCTCAGCATCCAAAAAAGCGGGGAAAAAAAGAAGACGACCAAATTGACAACTTACAACTAGTATTTAGTTTAGAGACAACAATATAATACATAGCACGCATGACTTAATTTATGAGACTGCACAGCCGCCTAAATTGACATTTAGGCAATTGATAGAGCCACTGCCTCGGCTAGCCGGGGGATTTTAATCAATAAGAACTGGTTTTCAAACAAAATAACACATAGTATGAGTCAATTTTAACCTTACCAGGATACTGAATCAAAGCCTGAACTCCTCCATTCTTATCAAACATGGCAATCTTTAGGACTGGACCAAAAGCAGAGAAGACCTGAGCACAAATCCGTGAAAGAAAAGAAAATAGATAATAATCAAAAAAATGAGAAAAGCATTGTTAACAGATAATATTAAAAATCTACATACAAAAAATGGCAGATACCGTGTGCAAAACATCCAAAGTGACGGCATATTGCATGTTCTCAATGGAAGCGAGTAAAACATTACTCTCAGGATCTAGTTTTTTCCCATCCAAACCCAAGCTGAACTGCAGTGATGAGAAATGATATTACGTCAAGATAACAAAATACGGAACTATCTAAAAGTTCAAATAATGCAGAAACCATGTTCATCTGCTGGTCTAAATATGTATAGACCAATTGTATGTTGTCGTGTCTGACAAGCATTCAAAGGTATTAGAGTGACAACTTTTTTGGGGGTAAAAAAAGAAAAGAAAAGGTTAGTAATGTTCTTAAAGGAAAATATAGTTGATGCATCATTGTATTTATCAGTCAAATATATCTGATAACTTGTGATGTTTCTTCATTCATTCTCAAAAGCATGCACACTAAATCGGTCATACTTGGCACAAGATAAGTCCACAACTGTTAACAGAATAATGATAAACTCTGTAAACCAATATGTCCACCAATTTAATTGACAGCCCGCATGCAATTGACAGGACATGGTAGATGCTTCATTATTATAACCACCTCGGACTTCTGACCAGTTTACACCATAATACTTTCAGTTACCACTGTTTACCTGACCACTTGCATCTATAGCTGAAGGAGCGACAGGAAGGTGAGGATTAGTGTAGTCCCTGAATCAATAGGAAGTATAATTAAACATCTAAGTAAAAGATCATGAAAGATCTGAGCCATAACAGATGAAGCAAAAAGGATCCCATCCAGCAAAAAGTCAAATTACATACACAAAATCGTAGAATCATCATTAAATAAACAAGTTAAGCACATATAAATATGCAAAAACTAATGGCATACTGAAGGAAAATAAAACCAAAATAAAAAAAAAAAACTTCACACAAAATCATAGATGCTCAAATACCAAAAGAATTGGGAATAAAATATACCTGCTACGGTGACTCTGGAATTTCACACTCAAATCTGTGTGTGCAGAATACGTAATCTTAAGAGTACATGGTCCCAGATCTGGAATTAAATAACTGACAAATACCAAAAATCAGAAAGTCAATTGAACATCAGAGGCATATTAAAGGGAAATAATACATAAAATGGTGTATGAACTACAAAGCTTTTAATATGGAGCACACACATGTGCTTTGATGGTCCAACCTAGCACATTTTCTACATAATAAGTTACCCAGTTGACGTATCATAACTATTGAATAAGTTGCCTTTTCTTTTCTTGACATAAAAGAGATCATGCAAAGAAGAGCATAAAAATAGTTAGGATTTAAAGCTTTGTCAAGTGTAAGAATGTTGAGCAGTCAACAGGGCACCTCAACAGACTACTCTTTACTTTATTCATACAGTCTGCTTAAACAAGGGCACATTTTGGTCTATTTCGATCAGCCTTGGTCAGTTCCCTTTCCACTTTCCTAGTTTGTAACTACCCTCCCTAAGTAACCCATTCATAACTGTCTCGAACAAGAGGGATAGTGGTAATGGAGGTAACTGAATACTCCCTTTACTTGTAATCCTTTGTAAATGTCACAAGAGTTGAGAGATCAAAGGATATTGGTACATACTGAAGAAATTTTGAAATAATTGAACAAGGAAGGAGAGATATAATGAGGTAAGAAGTATGCATGTACCCCTTAAGTAAATCCCTAATGTATGATCACCTGGGAATGCTTCTACCATCAAGAGAATCTTTAGCAGAAGAGGCAGTTTCTGAATCAGAAAATTGCACCAAAGCCTGAAATGATCATCATATATGAACTTCACTAGTGTTGTAAGGACTGGAATGAGCCAATTAAAGAAGTCAAATAGAACACACACACACACACATACCTGGAATCCAGCTGTCTTCTCAAAGGTTGTAATCTTATGCACAAACCCAAATGCTGAAAACACCTGCAAAATAGGAATACCTTTCAGAAATACTAAAAAAAAATATCCTACAAATTTAGCATGCGATTTTCGTCCCTGTTCCTTTTAGAGAATTATGGCAGAAGCTGGGAATAAAGCAAACCCCAAATTTCCAATTTTAAAACAACCAGATAGTAGTAATAAAGTTTGCCATCAATATGACAAATTCACATAACAATCAGCATGCCACTTATGAGGAATAATAATAATATTAATAAAATGTAGAACACATGCGATAAATAAATAATAAATAATAAATAAAAGAAACCACCAAGAATAAAATTGAAAACTTTTGCACTTAGCGAAAGTAATACATTCTAATTTAACAGTTTTCCACTAACTAAGAGTAGCCCTGGGAATAAAAGATTACTAAAACTGACATATTGGCATTTTATGCCGATAATTCAAAAGTTAGGCCTATTGTCTTACCCTCCCAGCCCCCACATAGGTGAGACCAAAACTTGAAATTGACCTTTTTACATTTTGGCACTCCAGATTGCATGCACCAAGAGTAAAAGTTCCTGATCTAAATCAGTAAGATTAACAATCTAGAAATTTCTTCTCCTCCTGTTATCTGCTATCACTAGATATACGCGTTCTCTCACACTTCCATTCCTATTTACATAACAATCATTTTTCTTTCAACAAATGTCAGCTTCTCATTGTGGAAGGCAACTCCAAACTCCAACAACCAACAGTCAAATTACATTCGCAGACTATCGTCTTCTCTCAACCCAACGACACCAATACAACAAAGGCCAGTCTTATCCAATAGACAAATAGGATAAAAGTAAGAACAAGGAAGCTGCATTGGTACTGCCAACAGATCAAACAAATGAGCCTGCTTCCATCTCACCAGATAACTGGGTATGTCTCCTTCACTTTACCTGTTATGATTCTGCAAACCACAAACTCCATAACTGAAGTAATCACCCATCACTTACGGAACAGAGAAATGGACTGAAAGCAAGAACCGTACGAGTAAGATCGAGCAGGACGTTTGCCAAAGTGGCGGGCCAAGTTTCAAATCCTTCTTTTGGTCAATTACCTATAGATTCAGAAAGAATCGTTTCTCCTCCTTGACCTCAAATCTTTTGCCCCTTTCTTGAGGAAGACTATTATTATTATTATTATTTTTGATAAGTAAGATGGTAATAAAAAAGGCGACCAAAAGGGGAATGCATCCTTCAAAAGCTACACAAGGCCAAATAGGGCCTCCAAACTCTCAAAGAGTCAAAATATCAACCAACTCCTTCATGGATTTACAATTTCTCCCTATAACCCAACAAAAAAGAGTACTAATGATGGAGAACTTAAGCGCACCAATAGGAGTCTCCTTTCCGTCAAAGGATCTCCTATTTATTTCAAGCCATAAACACCACCAGATGCACAAAGGCGCTACCCTCCAGAAATCACAAACTTGGGCCCCCACCATACAACCTCTCCAAGCCTCCTGGGCATAACCCACTGAATCCCAAACAAGCCCAACAACAAACCCAACAATTAGGAGCCACTGGGCAATACAAAAGAAGGTGATCAACCGTATCTCTCTTGCACATGCAGCAACAGTTGACCACCACCTGTCTCATCCGCTTTAAATTATCATGGGTTAAGATCTTTCCCAGCACAGAAGTCCAAACAAAGAAAGCCACCTTGAGGGGGGCCTTAGAATGCCAAATAGCCTTCCACGAGAAGGGATCCCCTAGAGCATCCGTAAGGCGCTTATAAAAAGACCAAACGTCAAAACAACCCTGGGAAGAAGGAACCCACACCCAAGAATCGGGACCACCCCAATCACCTGGAGTCCGTACTCTCAGCACCAATAAGGACTGAGTCTAAAATCTGATGGCCTCCAACAAAAGCGTTTTCAAAATCGGAAATGACCCCATCCAAGACTTCCCTCAATCTCAAAGCGCCGCCCCCCCCCCCCCCCCCCCCCCCCCCCAATGAACGTGGCATCCAAACTTTTCCCAAACAACACTGAGAGTGACAGGCATGAAACATTCCAACAATAACTTCCCCCCTAATCAGAAGACATTTTCGAGCAAGGGCGGATTTAGGGGTGGGCTTGAGGCCACCCCGTAAAGAAAAAAAAAATTATAGGCAATTTTAGCCCAACCCCGCGACCCCCCCCCCCCCCCCCCCAAAAAAAAAAAAAAAGAAAAAGAAAAAGGTATTACTAGAATTAGCCCACCCAAAGAATTATTAGCCCACCCCATTGACAATTCCTGGATCCGCCCTTGTTTTCGAGTGACTTGACTGGTAGAAGTTCAAAATAACCCAATTAAGTTGAGGCAATTTCAAAACCCAAGGCCGGGATTTCTGCCCAAAGCTAGCACCTAAAATGCTGCGGCAGTTCCTTATCAAGACCCATAAGTCTGACCAATGGCAGGGCAATCTTTTGAATCCATAATAGTGAGATAAACAATGATTAAGGACGTTTCTTCCTTTGCTAAAAAGACGTAAAATTTACAAAATCAACATACACAAATACCATTTGCTAGAAACTATTTGAAAAGACAACATAGTAGAATTTGAGCTGTTACCACAATCATATATATATTTTTTCATAAGTAATCATTTCTTAAAATCAAGAAAACCGTCAATGAAGGTAATGAAGTAACTGCTATATGTTAAACACCCTAGTAAATGTAAGTTTTTGGTTCTATTCCAATATTTGATTTGCCTGCAGAAAAAAAAATTAAAAAATAAATAAATAGTACTAATAATATACGATTTAATTTCATTAAATTAAACATTAGGTAAGGGTAAAGTATAACAAAATATTCTGTAATTCTCATGGCAAGAAGAGAGAGCATAACTCAACAAGAGTAACAAAAAAATAATTTAATTGCACTTGTACTTTATTATTGCAGAATTTGATATCAGTTGCTCCTGGTATCTAGAGGGAAATTGTAAATAAAATTACAGCAAGAGGATCTTGTTGGCATTCAAATGTAAATCAGTAATGATATACCATAATATTCAAAATAATATTATTTATCATATTATAACACTTGCAGAAATAGAAAATACAGCTCCAATTCCAAGTTTCAAACTGCCAAAAATTTAATGAATTAATTTTATAAATCCAACATGACTTTCTTCTTGAAGTTTAAAGCTCCTCCAAGAACAATCTTAACACTTCCACATTGCTACTGCCCAACAAAAGTATAGCCATGTGACATTGTGAACTAATTATACAACAATATTTGATGCATGTGATAAAGATAGTGTTACCAGTCCTAATCTACGACATGACATCAAGAGTAAGGAGGTATTCCCCAAACTTAAAGTCGATCTGCTGCCTATGGAACTTGCCGAGATCTATGGGTTTGCAATGAGAAAACAACAGAAATGGAACTAGATTACAAAAGAAAATCCAAACAGAGGCAAAACCACCAACTTTGCAAAGAAATCATAAACTAAGTCAGGCTTCATCATTTTTCTTGCTATATACTAGAAGAGAGAACTTAAAATTCCATGTCAATTAAAATGCCATACTCTAGATTTTTCAAATAAATACCATAAAGCACCTGTGTGGCTACTAGAAAGAGTGAGATTGGAATCACTGAGAAGTTGGCAGAATGGGTTTATCGGTTTCCTAAGCAACCCCATCCCTCTCCTATTCAATAACGAGATGAGCACAGTTCTGCTTCACAAAACTGATGTTATAACTAACTAGAACCAAAAGACCAAATTACAATATGATTACAGCGATTGGATCAGTTATTAGGCAAAATGATGAAACAATTATATGCAATATTATAAATGCATTATGAATAATTATGCTGCAAACATAACATTCCAGAATACAGCAGCAGAAATGAAAAGGAACAGATCCACAACAGAGAAGAAATGAAAGCATCTGAAACTCTAAGATTGGAAGGATAGGAAGATGAGGAGGAAGAAGGGAAGATAGAGCCAGCATTAAGCAAAGGAGAAAGGAGACAAACACACATGCGTTCTTTCTCCCGATGCAAAAAGCTGCCATTGAAGATATTTCCTTGACATAGGCCTGCTGATCCATCCACATTAATGTCAAAAAAAATCTTTACAAAGCATTACCTACTCTACAACCTAACCACAGTGACTGTGGGCAACATCCTTCTAGTAACAAGTTTACCTCTTGTGAACATGAAGAAGGCATGTGATTACTCACCAGATGTAAGACATCAATGCTAACAAGGCGAGCATCAGTACCCTCAATTGTTACCAGCAATACATTTCCAGCTACATCTGCAGTAGTTTTGCTGTTTACTATTTCTTGCCTGTTGGAATATTGTAAGTAGACGGTTTTCCCTCGTACCTGAGCTGGGTCCGAGGATGAAGCATAATATGATATCATTGCAATAGCTTGATTTAATTCTGCCTATAAGAATATCAAGATATAATGACATATGAATATCAATCAGGGAGGTGATCAAAAGAATGGAACAATCTCAGATAAAAAGAATTAATAAACTCACAAATTCAATAAAAGCTTGATTTCGGTTCGCTCCAACATTACACTTTGTGTTGACAACTTTACCGAATGGCTTTCCCAGTTCGATCAATTCCTCCTCTATGCACTCCCATGGCAGGTTTCTCAAATGGAGTACCTTAGAAGGGGGTTGGGTGTAGCGGAACTGGGGCTGAGTGGACACAGATGCCATTCCACACTTCGCAACCTGGCCTGTGAGATAACAAAAAATACATAAGAAGCCATTTGAATCAAGTAGTACAATCCCATACCATAATAAAGTACACCATACTAAACCCAGAAACTTATGGTGTAATCTTTAGCATTTAATACTAAAATGATGTTTTATTCCATGATAAAAGTAGTGAGGCATTTCACTATCCATTTGAATTGTTTCTTCACCTCCTTTGCTTCCATAGTTAAGATAACACTAAAGCCAAGCAAACTAAGCCTTGCCCAACTAATTGGGGCCAATTAATCCTATTTCGCCATTTTGCTCTCCAGGTCCATAGTGAGACGCTCAAAATACATTACATAAACTTCCTTTGTCACATTACAACTTTAATTGGCTGAGTTTAACAAGACTCTGCCAACACACGCATCATATAAAGGTAGTTGCCGAAATCGAATCTCATTACCATCAGTTGAATACAATTTGATTGACCAAAACGATACTAAATACTTTATCATTCCACGATAAAAGTAATAAGGTATTTCACTATCCATTTGAATCATTTCTTCACCTCCTTTGCTTCCATAGTTAAGATAACACTCAAGTCAAGTAAGGTAAGCCTTGTACAATATATTGGGGTTCGCTAATGAATCCTATTTCGCCATTTCGCTCTCTAGGTTCATACAGTCACGCTCAAAAATACATTTCATAAACTATTCTTTGTCACCATACAATCTCAATTTGCTGACTTTAACAACACTCTGCCAACAGCACATATCACATAAAGATGGTTAAGGAAATCGAATCTCATTACCATTGTTCACTACAATTTCATTGACCAAATGATACTATATTTTTATGGAACCTAATTTAAAAAAAGACTCGCTTCTCACAGAGAATTTCAACTTCAAGAAACAAATGATAATATATATATACACACATATATCTATTATTAACACATACTCCATGTATTGAAAGTATAACAGCCAACCATTTAAATTCAATTGTTAAAGACGCAGTAACCGATCTTTTCGTCAACCATTGCAGTTCAGAGCAAGAGAGGCGGTTCAACACGTTAAACATAACATTAAGTTTCGATTCAAAGCCGAAACAAAAAAATTAGGGCAAATAAAAAAGAAATGAATCAAAGAATTGAATACGATACCTGAGTGACGAAATTGAAATCAGCAAATCGTTGTATTCTTCAAATTTAGGATTCACAGAAAGAAGAAAAGCTGAGACATATCTTTCGCGAGGTTAGATGGGAAAAAAAATTGGCGCCGGAGAGGTGTGCTATAAGCACCTCGTGGAGGTTAGCGCAGAGGGATAGATCCGACGCGACAGGCGTATTTTAGCACATCATAATATATTTAATGTGCAATGACCCCTTATGGCCTTATTATTCGAAATACCCCCTACTTTTTTTTTTAATTTGTGCAAATAAGGACAAATCATAATTTTGGCAGTAAAATTACTAAATTAACCTTACTTTATCATTTTTAAAAAAAGTAATAATAAGACAAAAGGCAAAATATCAAAACCACCCTTTAAAGTCATAACATAACAATACTCTACATAAATATATACACACATATATATACACACATGCATAGTCTCTCTCTTCATGTCTCTATTCAATCTCAATTCTTATGTATCTGGAAAGAATCTTCCGATACTACCTTGTACTGGCCGCGACCTTATCTTTTACTCCAACAATTTATAAGAGATTGAGACAACATGTTTAACTAGTAACTGGTGTTCATTCAAATTTAATTAGAATTCACATGGATTTAGGAATGGCGTATTATATTTGTACACAGGTTAAAGTTTGAAGAAGGAATATGCACGTGTAAAAATTTGAAGATAAAAAAAATTAAAAGTCCACACAAATGAAAATAGTCATAAAATTGATTGCTTTGACATGGCCTCCTCTGGATACAAGAAGTAATTTTCTATCTAATTTTTTCTCAATTTTTTATGATTTCTATCTATTTATACAACAAAAAAAAAAAAAAAAAAAAAAAAAAAAAAAATTGCAACTGGTTCTTAATTTTTTCTTTATTTTTCATATATCCATTTTTTATGATTTTTATCTATTTATACCGAAAATTTGTAAATGGTTCTTATTTTCTCTTGATCTTCTTGAAGAGGTTGGAATTGGATTGCTGATTTTTTGGAGCAGGTCAAGCAACGTCTTCCTAGATTATGCTCTCTGCTGATATTATATATGAAATTTCTTTAGGCTTGTTGATTCTGGTGCTCTATTTGTTGGTCCTGAAGTTCCTTAAGTATTGTTTGCCTCTTTAATGTCAAAGACTTGTGTTGCAGTGGCCTCAAAGGGCTTCTTCATTGTCAATGTTGCTTGAAATAAGTCTCAAGGGCTGTGTGGTCATTCTCTCATCAGTGACTTATCATTCATATTTGTCTTAATGTATTCATCACAATGTATTTACTTGTTCTAGCTGAAATTGCTGAATTTTTGTGTGGACTCAGTTCATAAAAATTATCACAGATGGTTCCAGGGGTAACATTGTCATTTCTCAGCTGTATTCAATATATATACGTATATTCAGGATGCTACATTGCATTGGATTGACCTGATTGAATCTGCATTGCTAGTTATACAGTCTCAGGACTTTTCCTTAGTTGAGAAGTTGAAAATCTGTTACAAGGGTATTTTGGTACTTTCTTACTTTGCTCATGAGTGTGACACGTTCCAGTGTTCCTAAAGTAAGTGAATATGCAAGAATATTGCATTTCTTGGAGGTTAAGTCTTGAACTGTATAGAGTACACAGTTTTGTAGTGTGTATGTATGAATTTCAGTGTGCATAGTGACAATATTGCTAAGGTGGCCTTCTATAATTGGCTCTTGCTCCTGAAAATATCTGCATTGTGCTTTACCAATGATTGGCTAGATGTGACAGGTGTATTCTGTGGGTGTATGAAGTTCTATGCACTGTGTGGTTCTATATATATATGCTGTTATAGCTATTTTAGGGTTTAAGTCTTTTGAGTGAGATGAAAAACTGAGCTGCAACCTATATTCTCTCGAGAGTATTGAATGAACTTGATTCACTGAGTGTTTTTATTATGACTCATGCTATAAAATCTCACTGATTCAAGCCTTGCTAGAGTATTTCACTGAGGAGATATTGCTATTGTTGTTATTTCTGCTGCAAGGGCTGGATTGAGTAGTGAATTTGAGTTCAAAGGTGCTGTGGTCTAGTCTGAGGGCTGACACAGGTATAATTCACTTATTTACACTTGTTCGGTACAGAGTTTTGTTGAAAAACATGCTGAAATCAAATTTGGACAGTAAGCTCATCTGTGTTGCTTAATTTGCTGACTGATTCTTGGATTCAAGTTCTGATTGATTATGCCTTGCTATATTATGAGATTTTAATCTTCTAGCAAGTATATTTTGATGAATCTAGACAGTTGAAGTTGACTTTATGATATAATTTTGGTTAGCTGCAATTTTCAGTATTCAAACCCTAAGACTTAAACTGAGTTTTGCTGAACCAAGGGCTGTTATGAACTTTGTGAACTTCTCATGCTACAATTCATTGTTCAAAGTTATGATCATGAGTATCATAGTGAATGAAGACTGAATATAATGCTATTGATTGATTCTTGAAAAGAAATTCCCATTTTACCCCTCAAGTACTAATTGCTGCAGATTGATGTTTTGAAGTAGTAATTTGGCATTCTGAGTTGTCTGCCCTATTTCAATTGTAGGAAGGGCTTATGTTTATTGTATTACATCTGTTTTGATGTATTTGGTGAGCTTAGAGAGCTTGTTTGGTCCAGGCAGGGTTGCCTAAGACAGGGGGAGTGTGTGTATACACTTAGTTGAGCTAGTGTGTGAGTAGAGTGTGTGAAAACTAGTGTCTACTTCTGTGACAAGGGTGTGTGCAGAGAGTGAGACAACTGAGTGTGTAACAACTTACTTGCAGCTAGTGGATGATTGAATTGGCATTGGTCAAGAACCAAGGTTATCCCTAATTGAGAGGATTTCCTTGTAAATTTTGTTGCATTGTTTATTGATTATTGTTTTGGTTGCTAATGAGTTATTTTTGAAAGAAGGTTTTGACCAATTCACCCCTCCCCTCTTAGTCCAACACTATTTTTGAGAGTGAAAAAAAAAGAGATATACTATCAACGATAGAGATAAATTTTAGAGAGAAATTATATTTTCTTATAGAATGAGAGTTCTAGGAGTGGAAGGAAAATATATAGAAGTAATAGAATTAGAAAATAATATTTAAAGGAAAGATTATGTTTCTATACATATATATTGAACTAAATAATATTTTAAAAAATAAAAAAAGAGTACGGATGCCTAGAATCTCACTTCACGAACCAAATAAATAGAGTATCATAAAAAAATAATAAATTAAATTGATGTCTTCTTGGTAACATATTGCTAAATGGCTAAATATAATAAAATCGGTAGTTGGAGAGGTACCCTTTTGCCGGTGGTATTAACTAGTTAATAGGGATACGGGAGGTACCCATGAGCAATTTAGCGATCTCGGGCCCCAAATGGTAGTTGGGAGTCACCATTTGCTAAGAACGACTAGCAAATTCTCCTTAGGGACGGTGGAATTACCAAAGGCCGGCTAGTTAGTATGTTTTCGGTGTGTGTGAGTGTGTGTGTGGAATGCATTGCATAAGCCATTATATGCATTGCATTATTTTAAGTAGTTGATAGTGGATTACTTGTTAATTGTTGAAGATGTGTAATATATCCTGGCATGATTCCTACTCTCCTACTCTATTCATTGACGTGTCTAAGCATGTATTACGTCTACTTGATTTTAGGAGATGCCCTTTAGGCAATATCTATTGGGCCATTGTGGTCATTCCTCTACTTAATATTTTTCAGGAAATGGGAAAGAAATGATGGATGACCCACAATCCCACCCTTGATGTGCATGATGTGTATGGCACTGTATAATCCAATGATGTAGTATTTTGCGAACTTATATTTAATGGCTACTAGCATGTAATTTGGGGATAGAAATAATTTTGAGACCATTATATTATCTTTTGCGGTTTCATTAGGATTTCGAATCCCTTATAAGGCTTTATAGCCATCCATGGATTGAAACTATTTTGACTTTACATGATGTGCTTCAAGCTTATTATGATGTGTAAACGATGAGTCAAATTTATTTTGAATTGTGGACATTATTTCATTGTTATTCTTATTCAAATGAATGCCTTGGGACAAACTTTGCATGATTTCATAACTCAATCGACCATTTCGGGACATTCCAGTGTCATTAGAATGCATTTGGATGACTCTTGATTGATTGGTCCCTTGGAAATCACGTTTTTAGGCCTAAATTAAATTGCTGTGGAAAGTTGGGTTTTGGGTGACTGGCCGCCCTGTTTTGGCGACTGGTCGCAGCCCTATCATGCACCAGCCAATTTTGTAGTCCAAACTTGTATTAGACACAACTCTCTCATTTTAAATTCAAATTGGGTCGTTCTTAAGTCTAATCTAACCGGATCGAAGTCATATTTCCGTTGATATCAACCCATCCTCAAATTCCAAACACACTGAGAGTTATAGCAGTTTTAAACTTTTAATGAGGTAGTATTGGGAAATCCTTCAAGCCAATAGTGGGTAAAAGTGAGAAACTATACCTATGGCCATCCAAAACTTATGGAATGAACTTATTTGGTTAATGTGAGGTTGGAGGGACCCATTTGAATACTCATACTCAACTTATCCTCCATATTTCCCCTGATATGACCATTTTACTCGTAATATGTCCTCGGGTTCGGGTATCAACCCGGTTATTGTTTCGGACCCTAGATTTGGGTCATTATAATATACCCCATGGTCTGAATCCTTATCAACACACCTAGGTCTCCTTCAACTATCCCAAACCCATTATTTTGGATTTTACTAACTCTAAGCCCATTCCATACTAAATTAAAATAAAATAAATAATTAAATAAACCAAGAAATTACACCTTAAGCAATTAAACACATATGCATAACTTAAATAAATCATTTAAATTAAACAAATAATAAAAGAATTTAAATTAACCAATTAAATCAAATAACCCAAATAATGCAATTAGATTAAATCAAATAAGCCTTTAAAATATAGGGGTATTACAGGGACCCACTTGATGGATGATCTAACGACTGAAAGGCCCTGGGGATATGGTACCCCCGACGTATTCTAGACTTTTTCAAATGAAACATATTCTATAATACCGTAGTGGGACCCACTTGACGGATGATTCAACGGTTGAGAGGTCTCGGGGGTACAGTACCCCCAAGGTATTGTTGACTTTTTCAAATTGAAAAATTCTACAATATCTCGTGGGTACCGTA